GTGCAACGATTGAAAATATCGCACAGTGTACGCCCAGCTTAAAGCAGATTTTGCCAAGCATCTCCTGTCTGAGGAACTCAGCAGATCTTATCTAATTTATCACATTGTCTCTCATATTCATGCATGCATTTTGTGTTGTTATTGTTTGTGTTAAATATGCAGGTATAAAATATTCACTGACCCCGCTAATTGGCTGAGGATTGATGAAAATACTGGAAAAATCTCAGTGAAAGACGAAATGGACAGAGAATCTGTCTGGGTCAAAGACAACAGATACACAGCAATTATTACTGCATATGATGATGGTAAGTGTGACGGTGAAGTGGTTTGTGTAGCAACTTTGCACATACAAACATCAAGTTTATGTAGTACGTATACATTTAACAAATAAATCAGAAAGTGGACATTATAGATTAGGTGGCACTTGTTCATTAGGTCAGTTGAACTGATACAAAATGTGGAGTTTAGGTTTCATTGGCTTTATCTGATGTAGTCTAAAATCACTAATTGGAGTGTTTAGGGTAATTTATCCATAAAACAATTTGAATCATAGGAGTTGGGGATTTAATTACAGTCTTTCTCTCTCAGTATTTTATTTTTAGGTGTTTTGTAGAACTACTAATGTTTTCCTGATCCATTTATGTGATCTCAACAGATCAAATCCCAGCAACAGGAACTGGTACCTTGATTATCGAGCTAGAGGATGTCAATGACAACCCACCTGTCATTGAAGAACGGGAATTTAAGGTATGTATATAATGTCCACCTATAACGGCATGCAATTTGTGCTTTGATGGATTTAAGCAGAACTTAAACCAAACCCTTTCGTTTCCAAAGATGTGTAACGAGGAACCGGTTCCTCAGATTCTGACTGTAAAGGATAAAGATGGACCAGACTTCACTTCTCCATACAGCGTCAGCTTACAGGGCCCTTCGAATGCTAACTGGACTGCCAGGATGAATGACACCAGTATGTATACCTTTTACACTAAAAAGATTAAAACATGTTTCTGGAAACATAAACCATCAAATACAGCTCAATACAACTCTTTCACTAAGTAATGTAATACATCTGCAAAGACATCCATCACTGCGCCACAACTTCATTCAATTATTTTTTTCATAGAATAAATTCACAGTGTGTCATATCAAGGCACTTTATAGAGGCGATTCGGTAAAATTAAACTTGTCTTTCCATGGAAACCTAGCTGACTGTAGGATTTCACCCTTTTTTTGCCCCTTTCCAACTTTCGGAAAAATCTGTTTAAACCCGGTTTTTAGTAGCAGTGGAAACTGCTCACTGATACGTGTTTACCCGGGTCAAACGACTCGGCACGGCGCTGATCGCCATCCTGTGGGAACACCAGAGCCTGGTTGACCTACTAATTTACGTGATACCATTGAACGCAACGTAAGGACATCAACACACCGCGCCAGTCGCTTCTGATCTACCGAGCAGAAACTTTAGCCGTTTTCAATATGTGTACTTGTGTGTTCTCGTGTACTTGTGGAACGTCATCAGCCTCAGCCCTAGTATTGTTCCAAGTCACAAGAACAGCAGAACGGACAAAGTCCCCCGATGTTGTTCTCACCCCTCCCTCTTTACCCAGCATGCAACAGAGCAGACTTGTCTGTTCTTGAGATTGACAGCTGTCCCAGCATGCACTGCGGCAGCATCAATTTTCAATGTAGCACCCACAGAGCTCAGAGTTTCAATTAAAGTTCTCTTTTCTGTTAGTTTTGTTCAAAGAAAATAATTTTTTAGATAATTTGAGGCTAGAACATTCTACTTTTAACAGTCACTATACGGCCCATTTACCGATTTAATGCGAAAACAAAAGCTAATAGGACTACGAGCTGCTATGCGCAGCAGCCCTGATTCATAACATGCTAAGAAACCAGACATCCCTGCAGAAATAAGGAGAAGACTTGCTGCAGGGGTGGGAGGGAAAGATATTTTCCGTCGGTTGTCATGGGAAACGTAAGACTTTGTGCAACAAGACTGAGGAGATTGCAGCTTTTACTTTGCTTCCAGGGGAGATACAGAGATGCTAGTATCATGTGCTTCACAGAGACGTGGTTAGATGGACTTGTCCCAGTGGTTTCCCTGGATGGATTTAAACTCATCCGTGCAGACAGGATTTCTGCAGAGAGTGGAAGGGGGCTGGAGATGTTTGTGAATGAGAGATGGTGAAACGCAGCTCATGTTTACGTGAAGGAACAGATATGCTCCCCGGAGGTTCATAACCTTGTCTACCTGCTCCTCCACTACTTACCAGTGGTGAGAAGGACAATAGTGCAGAAGAAGGTCAGTGAAAGTGAGGCCACTGAGAAACAGAGGGATTGTTTCAGAACCACAGACTTGAGCATGTTCCAAAGTGATGATATCAACTGCCTAACTGAATGTAACGTACTGGTATCGGCCAATACTCACAGCCCAAGCATTGGAATCAGTACCGGGAGAAAAAATGGTATTGGAACATCTCTATTTGTATCATGACGTTAACTCTGCAGCAATTCCTCACACTAAGCCTTTATGCCGTGATAGTGGAAAGGAAAAAACACCCTTCTCACAACAAGAAACCTCCAGCTTCGAGTCAATGAGTCGATGCAATCAACTGGTTTTCCTTGAATGGAAAACTATGAATCAATCTGACTGGATGATCTGGTTGAATTTTTTTCTGTACAGTACATTGAGATGACATGTGTTGTGAATTGGAGCTATATAGATAAAGTGGATAAAATTTAATTAAATTTGAATTAATACCAAGGTTTCCCAGAAACCTACACATGCAGATCAATACCTGCATTTTTACTCACACCCCCGCAGCAACATAAACTTTCTATTATCATAAATCTGAGTTACCAGCCTGGCAATATTCCCTCAAGTGCAGAGAAGCCAGGAAAAGAACACAAACATGTTAGGAAATCACTTGAAGCATGTCCAAACTGAGAGTTTCCACAGTAAATCAAAACTAGCAGGAAAAATAACACAGAGGAGTAAACAGAAAGACACAAGAACATTCTGATTCCGTATGTCAGGAATTTCTGAGAAACTCAGAGGGATTTTCTCTAAACATTTAAAACCCAACAACACACTCAGAAAACACAGACCTAAACTAAGGTGAGCAGTATTTCATTCCAGTGCAGCGAGGACTGTAAAGCGTC